CAGCCTGTGCTGGCACGTGGGGTTGTTCTTTGCCAGGTGCAAGACCCTCCTTACCCTGCTGTAAGACTCCTGGGGTTTACCAAACCTCTCCTCACTCAGGACTTGCTCGGAACACGATGTCTCATTATCCTCGCTCTCCGGAGACTCAGCCGGGGACTCGGTTTCCTTCAGCTCCATCTCCGAGGGGCTCCCTTCCTCCAGCACCACCGCGGATTCTACCGAGACACAAGGCAGAAGAACTGAGGTGTGGAGAGAGGCACGGCCAGGCAGGCCCCCATCCTCTCCTCTGAAGTACCAGCCTTTTCCCGACGGGATTTCAAGGCAAGGCCATAACGAATGGGTGCTCTGGGTTCTTTGATTTCAGGCTTGCTCCGTTCAGACTTGCTCCTGGCTCCCCTCTTTGTATAGAAATAACTGATGGCCTCAGCCTCGCGGCAAAGGGCTACGGCTGCTTTGGTCAGAGTACGTGGAGCTGGTTCCAATCGTTACTGACGGACAAGCGGGGGGACAGAATGAGGAAATGGGACCTTGCACGTCAATGCTCGGTTATCAGCACACACAGGAACTACAGAGATATAAGAAAGTACAAGACTGGCATTAAAAGGTCGTCGTTATCCAGACAATGAAGACACTCGCTTCTGTGCAGGTGTGCAAAAACCCCCTTTTTAGGTTTTCTCTCTTACGGAAACGCAACGCTCCCGTTGCCTTGGAGGGGCCTAGAAGGAGGGAAGGGAATTTCACCAGGAGCCATTTACTCGCGGTTTGGGCAGCTCTCAGCAGAAAGCGAAATGGTTCAGCCCTGGACGTACGGAAGGACAAGAGAGCGGGAGCGAGACACGCGCTGCAGCGACACCGCGAAACCTGCACGGGGTGTCCCATCACAGAAATATTTAATTAAACCGCACTGATGAGGAAAAGCTCCTGGGAAGCCCTGCCTGGCTGGGAGGAGGTTATCACAGCACTGAGGTGACCCTGACCCCCAGGGATGAGTCTGACCAAAGGCTCCTCTCGGCCTTGCTTTTAAATTTTTTGGTTTTGGGGTTTTCTGTTTGTTTTCTTTTTTTTTTCTTTTTTTTTTTTTTTGTGTCCGGAGGAAAAGGCTGGAGAACAGGAGGCTTCCCCGTTACGCACACAAGGGACTGGAAGACCAATCTGAAAGGCCAAGATTTGTTTTCCAACAGTACAACGAATTTAAAAAAAAAAAAAGAAAAAAGAAAAATTAGCACACACAAAAAAAATTTAAAAGGAAATCGGCAAAATTAAAAAAGAAATCACTAAAGCGGCTTTTTTTTTTCCTGGATTGATTTCAGTTCGCGGGACCAAAGTTATTTCAAAGAAGCGATTAAGAGTTAGCATTGCACACACAGACCTTCTTAAAAAAAACACAAACCAACAAACAAACCAGAACAAACGGAAAACAACGTGCTGATCTGGTTAGCTGTCCAAGCCAGAACACACCTGCACACATCCAGTGTTTCCAAGCTTCCCTAGCTCTCGCACCACTGCCAAGACCGCCGGTGGTTTTAAATAATGCGAGCGCTCGCTAATTATTCTTTCGGTCGGAAGGGAATACGAGCAGAGAGGAGAAGGAGAGAAAAAACACATTTTACTGCAGCGTTTTTGTGTTGCTGCAAGAGGCCCGTGGCAACAGCAGCCAGCGGTTACGCGGAACCTGCTGCTCCAGCGGAGAATTTTCCAGTGAAGGAAAGAAGGCAGAGAGGCATTTCAACCCGCTAATTAAAAGCACAAAGCGCTGCAGATGATCAAAGGTGTGCTCAGCAATCGGATCTCCACTTCGTTTAATTACGAAGTCGGCTTTCCTGGAGTGGAGAAAGATTTTACGCTGCTGTGGAGCCTCCAAAAAGGCAGAATTTAGCAGGTTTTCCCCTGAAATATATTTCTCCCTTTTTTTATCTAAAAAAACCCCCCCTTTTAACCAGCGTCCATTATAAAGTCAAACTTTACATCTCTCAGATATAGAGATCAGCTCCTTGTGCCCAATTCTGACAGGTTCCTGCGGGACTTTCTGTCCGGAAGTTTGTCCTGTGGCACCCTCCGCTAATTCTCCGAAACGGGAGCTTTGACGTTTAGGAGAACACAAAGCCAATTGTAAAAGGAAGCTGGAAATAAATAATTCAATTCCTCAAGCCGCTCGGGCATTTCGACAGGTCATTTAACACCGGGCCTCACGACCGGCAACCCAGCCCAGCTCAAACAAAAGCCGCTTTAAGAAATCGCCTGCGCTTTGCAAATGTTGGATCTGGCTTGGACTTCTTCATGCTAGTCAAGATCCCATTTGTTGAGAGTAATGAGACTGGGAACAGACAAGGAGACATGGAAAGGGAAAATGAAATATGAGGGATACGTTTTCTATGAATCAGAGGTGTTCTTCTATGGCAATACTTTTTTTTTTTTTTTTTTTTGCCTTAAAGATATATAAATATACCTGCCCAGGATATGCTCCTGTGCAACTTCCCTTGACAACTGGACTGGTACATGGAAGAGAAAGAGGCCACTGCAAAGGGAAATCAAGTGAGCAGCTACATCAAAAGGAAGGAGAGACTATATGAAAATATAAAAAAAAAAATAATAAAAATTAAAAAAGCACAGAGTTTAAAATGTAACCAAGAGCCTATTTTAAAACAAATAAACAAATGAATTAAATAAAAAACGAAGGAAAGGACAAGCTGGGATAAGCTCACTAGATGCCAAGGGATACTTTAGGGATACAAGGTCTCGACATGAATAAGGAGCCATAAAGACATTCAAACAATGCAGACTCAAGCTGCTCTCTTTGAAGAATGCATCTGGGAGTTTCAGAAACAGAAAATCCCTCAGCGATATCCCAGCACACACAGGAAACCAGTCTGAGCTTTTTCCTGAGCTACACATTTTCAGCACGAGATCGTTTTTAAACCCACAGAGGAGTCTGAAGAGTAGAAACACGGATAAAGATTCGCACAGCTTTAACCTCTGGAGAGGAAGAGCGACATGCGCAGGACAGCCTGACAGCAAAACTTCAAAGCGTCCATTAAGGTGAAAGTGGCCAAAATTATTTTCTCAGACAGCCACGAGAGCGGCGTTTGGGTGGGTGCTGCTTCCGACTCCTCGGTTGGCACCTACACAGCAGGAGTCGACAAAAGCGTTCACGGGTAAGAATTTAAATATCTTTTTTTTTTTCTAAAAGGTGATAATTTGATTTTGACTCTAAATTTGTGTTTATGTATTCCTAAACCCTAAACTCATATCCTACCCTGTTTAAAACAAACATGGATTTTTACTGGATTCCCAAACAATCCACACCACTGATGCCGCCTCCTCGGAAAAGCCTCGTCTGCTCTCGTCACCGCTCGGGTTTTGACGGTGCCAGCAGTGCTGAAAGCCTCGGTGTTACATGTTGTTGGCAAGAGCTCCAAGCAGGGATTACACAAAGCTTTAAAAATTTCAGCTGTTGGTCAACGTTAACGTCCCAACATCAACAGCTCAAAAGGAAGCAAACTAGCACCGAAGTAAATACAGTGAAAAAGCCTGGCTGCTATGTTCAAATAAAGCCACCAACAGAAACTCAGGTGACTCAGCTGCACCAGTCTGAAGGCTAAACACTCCTTTTGAGAGGTGAATAAAGCTGCAGCCAACAGGGTTTGCCTTCTGCTAGCTCTGGCTGTAAAAAAAAAAAAAAAAAAAAAAAAAAGACAGCAGAGCCTGGCTGGCAGCACCCTCGGAGCCCAACACAAACGCCCAGAACTGAAGACAAATGGAAATGGAAACACCACATGGGAGGACCCATCCACAAGTGGGATGCCCAGATCAGCCCCAAACGAGCAGAAAAGAGAAAAGACCTGTGACTCTGTGCGTTTTCATTTGGGGAAAACAGCATGAAACATGTTGCTCCTCCCAAGAAGCTCCATGACTCCTCTCTTTAAGAGAGAGGGGCTTTCCCGATGGCACATCGGAAGCAAGGAGGGTGGGAATTTTCACTGAAAACTTGTAGGAACAAGAACCAATTCCCCTTCTCGTTGCCACGCTATTCCTCCAGCTATCAACCTCCCTGTTCTAGAAGACCTGTGGTAACTTAACAGACTTTAAACTGGCCGGCGACAGCTCTGCTGGCCTGACATCTCTCACCTGTGTTGGAACGCTGCAGAAGCGATGGCTTGGCCGTCCCGGTGGCCAGGCTGGAGGAGGGCACCGAGAGGGATTTATAGAGAGCCGTTTCGCGGTGTTCTTTAAAACGCTCTGCAGCCATGAGCGCGTTAGAGAGCTCTTGCAGGGGCATGTTGTTAATATCTGAAGAGAACGGGCTGAGCGGGTTCTCCAGACTCATTAGCCAGCTCGTGTTACCTGGGGAGAGAAAATTATGGAAGAGTCTTAAGTACTCCCCACATGTGAGTCTGCAACTCACGTTGGGAAAAAAAGCACAAATTGTTATGGATTTTGCAAGGAAAACATCGAAACAGGCGAAGTTTTCCGCGCTCCTGACATTTGGCAGATTTGCTTGATTAATTTCTTATTTTCATTAAGTAGCTCCCAGGGCTCTGTACCTCACCCCGAGCTCTTCAAATCCCACCCTTGGTAACTCCTTACAACTGCAGATCCCCAAAAGGCATCCAAAACACTCAGTTTAATTAATGCTATCAGGTCAGTTCCCTTCTCAGCAAGCAACTCCCAGCTGTAATAGACAATTCCCCAGTAGAGCACACAAGTATTCACAAATTTTGACCCTGACCATGGTGTTAATCCTCCCCTAAAGGCAGCTATGCTCTAAGGCATAAACCTCGTTCACCTCGATTCTAGCAGGGGAGGCTACAACACAGCACAGGCAGGTTTTCAAAAAGGACCCCAGAGCAGTGCAAAAATGGGAAATGCAAAGTAGTGTCGATACTATCTGGCTCTACTACTGTAGTAGTGCTCCATACACAAATTTAAGCCCTTGCTTCAATCTTTCCACAGGCCTTTTGTAGATTCAAAACACTAAAGAGTGATTTCAAAGAACCGAGCATCAGATGTATCAGTTTCAAGAGGCCATAAGCAATAAAAAGATCCATTTGCAAGTAAATGCGGAATTTTCTTCTTCATCCAGGCTACAGTTTTCTAGTAAGTCAAAAGAGCTCCCTCCACACCCAAGTAAAATACCTGTGGGTCTGCGCACTAGGATTTCTGCCCACCCCTGGGTCAGCAGCGGGACATACGCGGCTAAGTTTGCTTTTTCTTTCTGCAGAGGTGTCTGTGGATCAGGATTAGTCTTCTCTGTTCGAGATGCCGGAGCAGGAGGACCCTGTGTCCCTTGGGAAGCCGAACCACTGGGAAAGTGAGGGGTTGAGCTGTCTAAGGCACCGACACGCAAGGCATGACCACCTGGCGAGACACACACACACAAAACAGAAGGGAGAGCTCAGTTAGCCCTAAAAATAACTCAGAAGGAAGAAGCCTTTCATGCTTCTCTAGCAGCTGTGTACACAATACTGGGAACCTCAGCACAACTTTACCTTTCCACGAATTTCTTATAAACCATGAGGTCAGATAAACGTAGGCGATTCTCCCCGCGGGTGCTCACCACTTAACCAAAGTGCAAGAAAAGGCGAGCAGGAGGAGCACCACCACCCCCGAGGCCAACAGCTGCTGCTGCCTGCCCACTGTGAAACACCAGATGGGTCCAAATCCTCAAATTAGTCTCTTCAAGTAGGCACTTGGACACTTAAGCCTGTGCCACGGACCCAGAAATGGCAATAAGACTCCAGGACAGGAATTTACCAGACATGGATCGGACTCTGTTGCGAGAGCTTCTGCAAACCTGCTGCCCAGCTTGAGATTCCAGTTTTGCCGGAGCTTCTTTAGTTTGTCTCACTTGCAAAACAGGGTCTGAGCTGTGGAAAAAGAAGATGTGGATGATACTGAGAGAGGAACCAGTCATGCTGGGCAAATCAGACATTCCTCTTCTTGTAAGAGGAAAACCTAAAAAGATGCAGCATAACAGGTGCTTAAGTGACTTTGTTAGGTGGGAATTTCAAGAAATGGAGCAAAAATTACCTTGATTCTGTGCTGCTTTGGAGCTCTCCAGAGTCTAGGCCAAGCAAGGACCTTGTCCCTGTTCCAACGCTCGTGGTAATGGTGACCAGCTTGTTACCAACCAGCCACGTCTTCGTCCTTCCTCCAGCCAACAGAAACTCACCCACAGGAGACCTAGAAACACATTTGCGAGGAGCACAGCTCTGAGACTGCAGAGCACGGAGCCTACGCAGGTGGAACTACTTTACGTAACTACGCAGCAGATCCTACCAGTTTTTCTTCTTTACACAGCAGTTATAACACCCCCTCCTCAGTCATCAACATATACATTACGCCCACACATTCTCTGCTCTTGTGAGACCCCACCTCGAAATCTGCACCCGGTTCTGGCATCCCCACCATAAGAGGGACGTGGATCTGTTGGAAGGAGTCCAGAGGAGGCCACAAAGCTGACCCAGGGGCTGGAGCAGCTCTGCTGCGAGGACAGGCTGAGGGAGCTGGGGGTGTTCAGCTGGAGAAGAGAAGACTCCGGGGGCACCTTATCCCTGCCTGCAGTGCCTGAAGGAACCTACAGGGAGGATGGGGAGGGACTTTGTACAAGTGTCCAGTGACAGGACAAGGGGAAATGGATTTAAATTGAAGGAAGAACAGGTTTAGGTTGGATCTCAGGAAGAAATGCTTCAGTGGGAGGGTGGCCAGACCCTGGAACAGATTGCCCAGAGAGGCTGTGGCTGCCCCCTCCCTGGAGATGTTCAAGGCCAGGTTGGATGAGGCTTTGAGCAACCTGGGCTGGTCAAGGGTGTCCCTGCCCATGGCAGGGGGTTGGGTAGATGATCCCTAAGGTCCCTTCCAACCTAAGACATTCTAGGATTCTGTGATTGTCCATCAGGATAAGGGATGACCCTTCTGGACAGATCAAGGCCGGCTCGTTGGCTCCAATGGATTTCTCTCATCCAACCTCATGGGTAGCCAAGGCAGATTTTATCTGCAAGGAAGAGCTTCAGCACCCGGCCCTGCCAGAATCTCCAATGCTTCATGATAATCTTCCACCAAATAAAGTGAAATATGGACCTCGAGCAACAACATCTCTCCCATGGTCACCAACTGATCCCTACCTCTTAGGCACCGCTGTGAAGTTTGAGAAGACGTATCGAGCCATCATGTCCAGACAGGTCTCCGTGAGCTCCAGGTGGAGATTTTTTAAGTTGTCGTCAGCCTGAGCCATCGAATTCTCATCCGCAGAGCCCAGGCTTGAACTAGTGATGGATGTCTGTATCCGACTAGAAGAGAACGTTGCCAACTGACAGATCGCATTGCAAAATGCTTGTCCCCGTCACCCGAGAGACGGAGGGATGCAGAACCACCTGCCATACATGCACGGGCCACATCAGAGAGGTGGCTGGACGTCAACCCCAGGACAATAATAAAAATGTTTTTGAATCAGCCTCATGTCGAGTTTCCTAGATTGCAGTCGCAGAATGCGGATTTGATCTCGAGAGACCGAGAAACATTTTAAAGGTTGAGAGACTGAGAAATATTTCAAATGTCCATCAGCTGCCTAGGCCAGGCCGGTGCTCTCTGATGTTGGGTGGCCCCCGGGCAAGTGCACCAAGCAAAGAGCGAGCGGCAGCCCCGCGACTCGAGATCGCCGATCCCCGGGCCAAGCGAACTGCGTGGTTTCCCCGGCAACATGTCGCCCCTAAGCCATAAAACCGGGGCACTCCAGGCTTCCCTTTATAATCCCGTGCTTTGCTTTTGTCTCTGCTGCATCCATTTTGGGTATTGATTTGGGTTCCCCCGCCCCCCCCAGGTTCAATAGCTCTGTAAAAGCCTAATTTGACACAGAAAAAAATTGCACTCTGAACAGGAAACTGGCAGGAGAATAGAGCAACTCTGCCTTCAAATCAGCCAAGTTAGCAATGCGACTTAATTCCAATACCAGGCCGGATTGCAATGTTTTATGAAGACACCTCCTCTTGCCGTTGTAATGAAAACTAAGGCAACTTCTTTGGCATCATTAAGGGTAATTATCTGAACTTTCAGTTTCTACCATTAATGCCTAAATACAAGAGAAGAAAATCATCTAACAGACTAATGGAGCTATCAGGGGATGAAATGCCAGAATTGTATTCACAATCCAGTCACTTCGGTGTCTTTCCCCCCAGACTCCACACAGTTGGAGTCAAAAAGACACGGAAAGTAAAGCTCCACTGACAACAATCCTTACAGATCAAGGCACAAATCTTCAGGTTCAGATTTCAAACCAAGGTGTTACAGACAGAGGTTTAACACTCTGGGGAAGTGACCCAGAAATACGTTGTCCAAGCTGGCACAAACTGTTTCATCTTGCAGGTGAGCAAGTCAAGGTCTGCAATCGAAACTTGTTTTCTTTAGTCGGGAAAGCAATAGCTTCCGAGGGGCTGAGCACACAGCCCACTTTTTTTTTTCAGGTTTTCCCAGCATCAGGCTTTAGCCCAGCTCCCTTGGCCTCAAAGAACAAACCCTAGGCTGAGGGCAGAACTATTCCTCATCGTTTGGGAGGAGTATGAGAAGCCTCTCCCGGGGCAAGTCACTGCTTCGAAGGCTGAAGTTTGAGCGAATTTTAACCAGGACTCTCACTTGCACAGAATGCAACCTTTTTCTTTTTTTCTTTTGTTTTTCTCAGTCTTTTTCGTTAGTTTGCTTGTTCCCTTCCCCGCCTCCCTTTGCCATCTTTACTTTCAAAATAGCAATTTTCGTTAAAGCATCAGAGAACGGGGCAAAGTAACCTCCCACACACATGGAGGGGGGTAATGGGACAACCCCCCAGCAGGCACTGGGAAGCCGTGGGATGGTTTATCCCAAAACCTTTTCCTGGCTGTGGCTTGGGCCAGTTTTTCATTTCGTAATCAAGTCATGCAAGCATCCCGCATGCAAATCCCAGCCCCTCCGCGCCCCTGCTTCCACCCGCCCTCGCAGCGAAAATTCCACGTGCTGGAGCTGCTCTTGGATTGTCCCCATTGAAAGTGCCTCTACCTGCGGACCACATGTTCAGACACACTGATGCTGCGGGATCGGAAGGCATCAACTGCAGAGGATTCTTTCAGCTCTTTCACTGGAGGAGAGTTATTCAAGCCTTGCTTTGCATTTTTGGCTAGTCTTAAACTACTAGGTGGAGAAGCACCAAGCCCCAAAAGAGGTCACAGGAAGGGAGGAAATCATTGTAGGGATGTAGGTTGAAAGGTCACAGGTCAATATTGGGGGATTCCGGAGGGTGATGTGAAATAAAAAACAGATGCCAAAAAAAGGAAAACAAAAAATTAAAACGGACAAACGAGCAGAGCTGCAAGCATTAAAAAGACAAACCACATTTTGCAAACCAAGATTTTAAACGTGCTACAAAACAAATGGAATTAGTGCAAGTTAAAACAAAAAAAAAAAAACCACCTGATTTGAAATGGTAGTTGGAATACTGCGCTGTTCAACAAAGGCAAGAGCACCTGCATGCTAATTTGGCACCGATTTCTCAAGTCTGAGACGTTTCGTGCAGTTCAGCCACCTCTTGCGTTGACCCAACTCACCCCTTCAGCACAACCTGACTACCTCCCCGGGGACCAGATCCTAAAATGCTTCACCGAGGGCAGGTCATGGCACGATTTGCTAAGAGACACAGGAACGCATCAGCCATCTCTCCCTCCCCTGGCCTAAATCTGAGCTTCCACCCTGAATCCCAGAAACTCCTGGGGCCAAGCAGAGGTGCCCCTTGGCTCAGCCAGAGACACCGGGGGAGGCTCAGCCCAACTACTCGAGACCCTTCTCGCACCCTGCAGAGGGAAGGGCAAGAAGACAGAACATCCTCCTGGCTGTCGCCAACTTCTGTCGAACAAGCTATCTAATTTCGGGCGGCTCAAGGAAACCTGCTTGACTTTCAGCTGGAAGAGGAAGGAAGACAAGCCTTTACACCATGGGGTGCCAACCGCGTGTGGGAGATGCAGCAATTAACATCTAAGAGGCTCTTTAATCACTCACAGTGGAGATGCATGCCTGGCTCAGCACTGATTTGGACATCACGGTTGGTCCAGAACTTCACATCCCCACACATCAAGTGCAGGTACTGATTTCACCCTTTTGGCTCTTTCTAAATGTGATTTAGCTGCCACCTTCTTTTCAGTGAATTACTACATTTCAGAGAGCCACCTGGAGAAACGAGAACTTATTTGTCCTCCTTCTCACACCAGCCTCTGATAGATCATTTTTGGCCACAACCAGAGATGCGGCTGCAGAGAGCACAGGCTCATACCCCATCCCCTGCAGCAGCATCATGCCCTTCGGAAACCCTGGGAACCGCTGGGATCTCAATCTCTTAGAACAACCCAGCCCCTCCGCTAGGGCACAGAAATGCTGCTTCTTTGGGCTTAAGGAGGGAAAACCAAGCACATCAACTTCTTGAGCAAGGGAAGAGACAATCTGCTCGAAGCCATTTCCTCTCTCCCTCGGCCAGAACCCGAGCTCAGCCAGCCGCGGAGGCAGTGGCATCCTGCCATTCTGGTGCTTCGGGTTGCTGTCTGAACACAGCCCACACTCCTTAGCAGAGATTTCTGCAGAAAGTGATCCAGCAGCATTAGCAAAAGCCTTTAGATACAGTAGTATTCCAACCCGGTAGAATTTTAACAGGTTTGGGGGAGGAAAAAAAAAAAAAAAAAAATTAGTTGAAATTCTAATTTGAGAGATGAGTGTCAAAAAAGCTTCTCTTCCAAGTTTCTGAATGAAAGAGGAGGAGATGGGAGAGATGAAACACAAAACAGGGTTTACAGCTACAGCATTAGGGCAGGGATGGTGTTTCTTCATTGCAAGACGCTCACTGAGCCTTGCAGTTAAAGTAGAGGCACTTTTCCCAGGGTTCAAATGCCACTGTATCCTCACTGCACATTAACACTGAAGCAAGTTAAGTGAACCAATTTAGGTGAGCCCTGCAGGTAAAAGGATGTTAGGGGAACCCTGAATGCCCTCCGAGCAATATTTTTCTATTGCCGGTAAGGTAGGTTCTGACTTCTAAAGACATTAGGCTTCGTTTAAAACCGACCTAATGGCTTCGAGATCTGAAAAAAAACCCAAAGGATCAGGACATCCAGATTCACAGAAGGCAGCTGTCTGCCACCAAGTACGCTGACCTGACAGACGCCACCACGGAAAAACCCTCGATTCACACAGGTTGCACATCACGACCATCTCTCTGGCAATCATTTCAGTAGTCATTACAGATCGATTATCAAAAGCATCCAAATGAACAGAGTATTCTGTCACTTCTGGTATTACCCTCCTCTGTCACTTCTGGGAGCCCTGTACTGACACACATCAACCTGAAAGAACTGCTGATCTTCAAAAAACCCCCACCACAAAGCCCACACCTTACTGCAAAGGCTTCCAGAGCAGCCAGGGGTGCTCTCATATGTCCTGTCACACTGCCAGCTTCTTATCAACCTCAGTTAGTCTTTTACCGACTCCCCGACCCAAAGAGGTTTACTTTGCTTGCTTAAATGCGCTGCCAGAGTTTGGATAACCAGACCCAGCCTCCTTCAGGAAAACACAAGGGTGTGAGCACTAGAACAGGGAACATGAGACCTTGTCGGAGTCAGATATAATTTACCTTTTTGGTCTCTCATTCAGGCTTGTACTGCGAGCCCTGAAACTGTCCTTCTCGGGCGTGTCATCAAAGGAAAGGAGGACATTTGAGCGCAAACCCTGCCGAGGGAGACAGATAACAAGAACTCAACGTCAGTTTTGAAAAACACATTGAAAAGAGAAGTAGAATTTTTCTAGCTTCGACCAGAACCTTTGAACTGCTCAAGCCAGTTTCTAAGCCATCATTTTTCCTCTCTCCTGTTTGACTCAGTAGCATCCCTTACCTTCGTAATATAGGGGACAAAGTCTTTCCGGAAGGGAAGGCGACACCGAATGAACCACATAGCTATCACGTGATGGGCCAGGCAAACGATGTACTGGTTAAACCTGAAACAGCAGAAAGATCTCCCCAGATTTTAACGCTGCACGACGGTGCCATTCCAGAACTGGACAGAAGGACTTCTCAATGTGAGAAGCACAACTGTTCCTTCACCTACTGTAAATATAAAGGACAAAACCCTCAAAAGTTCCGTTCAAGGGAAACAAGACATTTTGTCCAAGGTACCTCCCTTCTTCAGAAAAAGCCTGGAGATATCAGAATGTCCTATATAACAGACTTAATCAGATGTCCTATGTAAATAACCCCCACCCAAGCACTACCAAAAAAAGCACGTCTTATTCTCTTAATTTCACAGATGAAGAAGAAGTGCATTTGCTCTGAACTTACTTGGAAGGGTTTGTGTAGGGCAGAGAGATGGCGAACACGCTGGCGTACTGCTCTGCTGCGAAGTTCCTGTAGAGGTGAGGCAGCCTCGCTAGAGCTAGAACAGTTCAAAAGGAGAAAACCCACATAGGACACAAACTCTTCGATTCAGTTTAACTGGAATTGTTTCGTTTCTTCTAAATCACCAGCCAAGGCGGAAGTTAACAGCTTGGTACAATTTCAGGCTATTTAAGTTACAAGCAGCGTGGTGGAGAAAGCAGCTTCGCGTTTCCCTTTGCTGGGTGGCTGCACTACACAAAGCGTGTTTCTTCCTTCAGTGAGTGCGAGGGCTTCAAATAGAAAACCAGTAACGAGACGATGAAACATTTATACCCCGAGGACAGTGCAAGGGCACCACCAAAACCCAAGAAGCCCTCCCGCTGCATTCCGTACGACTGACACAAGCAAAAATCAAAAAGCGGTGCACGCAACACATTTGCAACTCCAGAAGATCAAAAGAACGTCACAACTTACTTGAGAGAAATTCCAGGAGCGGGATTGCCATATTGGCCGTAGCGGAGATGTGAGTTAGTTTGACTATTAAGACGGGAAGCGCCTTTATGATGATGTCGGGCATCTCGACGCTGCACACGGAGAGCGCCACGACGCACTGGTTTGCGCAGCGATAAATAAGGCCCTGCTCCAGGCAATACACTATTTCACGCTGGAAAAGTAAAAAAAAAAAAATTAAAAAAAATCATAATACAGTGAGAGAGAAAACCTCTGAGGCACCATCTCCTGACTCCAGTTAGCACTCTGAGGTATCGCCAGCACGAGGCCGGTACGGCATACGGGAATTAAGGGACTTGAACATCTCCGCTGTGAAGAGAGACTGAGAGACCTGGGGCTGTTCAGCCTTGAGAGGAGACGGCTGAGAGGGGATTTATTAACATATAGAAATATCTGAGGGCTGGGGGTCAAGAGGAAGGGGACAATCTCTTCTCAGTGGTGCCCAGCAACAGAACAAGGAATAACGGGTTTAAGTTAGAACAGAGGAAGTTCCATCTGAACATGAGAAAAAATTTCTTTACTGTGTGGGTGCCAGAGCCCTGGCCCAGGCTGCCCAGAGCAAGTGTGGAGTCTCCTGCTCTGGAGACTTTTGACCCCTGCCTGGACACGTTCCTGTGGGATCTGCTCTGGGTGACCCTGCTCTGGCAGGGGAGTTGAACTAGATGATCTCTAGAGGTCTCTTCCAACCCCAAACATTCTATGATTCTATCCAAAATGCGTTCACGTAGAACCCTAAATAATGTTCCATGGATCGTACGCCAAAAATCTGAAGTAGGGACTTTAACCAAGTAGGCATTTTGGAAATTCATATTTAAAGTTTCCGATTAAACAGAATTTTTATGTTTATCAGGGTCTTCCAGCAAAGAGTAAAATCAACCTGCGAGACAGGTACGGATGGAGAACATTGAATCCAGGTACGGATGGAGAACGCTGAATCCAACCGACCGGATGGTTGCTGCTGCACAAAGTTAGTAAAATATCTTTTCACCTCTGACCTCCCCCCAAAACCAGCACTAAACACTCCACTACACAGGCTCAGGCCCTGTCCTCCCACTTACTTTCCCTGTTACCTGTCTAGCTTTGTCCAGATAATTATGATAAGATATTAGCGCTGTGAGTACGGGGACGACAGCCAGATGCAAATCAGTGCGAGAAAAGCCTTCTGGGGTACCATGGAGCCTGTCGGTAGTCTTCTTGTCCGTCAGCTGAAACACCCCACAGGAAGTTAGAAGGCCTCACAATAAAAACCCTCCCTCAAAGGCAGCAGACAGGCGCTGCCCATACATTTTCACATGTATACATACACACGTAGAGAAAGAACACTCGTTGTTACCTACTTCTGTGCCTAAAACAACCCTCACCAAAAGAGGAGGTGAGGATTGACAGCCAGTACGCTAATCTTCAATAATATTAGAGTTAAGAAAAATAAAAACAACAAAAAACCCAAACAACTCAAAACCCAGCCCCAATCAGCTCTCGAGCAAAGGAAGGAGCTGGTGCTCCCACATCAGCGGGGTGCAGGGCATTACCATGTTGCTCAGCGCAGAGGCCAGCAGGTCTATCTTACAGGGAGAGGTTAAAAATAGCACTTTGTAGCGGAGGGATTCAGGCAATTTGTTAAGAACCAACTTCAACACCTTCCAGTCTGTCTCCTGCAAAGAAAGGAAAAGTGAAGGTGGAAATTTTTTTGTACGAAGCCAGTTCAGTTTGAGAGACCAATCAAATTTCAGACGACGTGCCGTTTCCTAGGCAGATGCACATCTTGCCACGGTAGCTACAGAAAAAGAAGTGGCATTTAGCTGTCTGTCATCCAGCTCTAGGTGCAATATTGGCACTGCAGGCTGGAAGACAACTTGTATCCAGATCTGACTGAGCTCAAAAGGCAGAGCCAGAATTCAGCTCTTCTCACCGCTTGCGCAAATTAACTTCCAGAGCAAGACAAGTTATGAGCTTCCCTCGGCACATAACTACGCCCAACACTAAGGAACAATTTATATTTACAGTTTACGAGTGACTGAAACATTTGTCAAGTCTCATAATACTGCAAAAACTTGCAGTAAGAGGTCTTCTCTTAGTTTTAAATGCCCTTTCAGACACAGGGTGACTGCTCTGACTTTTAACTAACACATTTTTTGCCCTTATCTGCCCTGGAGCCAAGTGAAATAAGAGCTTTGATTAGTTTCTCAAGAGTTGAACTAGTGCTCCCGCTGGCGGTTGTAATGCTGCACAATCACAGATCCCTGCTCAAGGAGGATTGCTGTATCACTTTTCAGGGGGCAGAATTCTCTAGCCAGCTGGTTTAAGATGACATATTTCACGTGAAGGTGACAATAACTGTCATTAAGAGCAGGCGTACTTGCTTCAAACACTGCAGGAGGACACCAAAAACCATCGAGTATGGCAGATGCCCGACACGGACGGTGGCGTTCTGCGAAGGCACGCTGGGACTTCCCGAAGGTGGAGAGAGCGTACCCGTAGGCTTTTTCTCAGAAGTCCTCTTCTCTGCTTCTCTACAAACACAGAAAGGGAGAAAAATACAGGCAACGTAAAAATCAGAACCAGCTTATTCACGTCACACCCTATTTGGCAGCCAAACAACAATATAAATTGCATTTTCAATTAAAAAACACAGGCTTGCCCAGTAGACAGACAGTGATGAGTCAGTTTGGTCAGGTTAAGGATTTTTCTAGCCAGGCTCCCAGTAAATTTAGAAAGAGAGCCTTTGGGGCATGTTACGCAAAGAACTTCAGGCTAAGCTATAAAATTAAAAATCGCCAGACTGGTACAAAACATCAAATCAAACCTCAATGTGAAAACCGGTTCCCTGCAGGAAGTTGCAAACACTTTTGTGAGCAGAAACAGGAATTTAACGCCTGAGATTAAGAGGTCTGCAGGCAAGTGATTTGTAAGAACCATTCACCAAGGAGTAATCAGTTGAGTCAATCGTAGGCTGTAATGAGAGACTTGTCCAGCAGATGATTCATCAGGATTCAGAAGACTCAGAAAAACTTCAGATCGTTACTGACAGACCATTAAGCTCGTGCAAAAATACCAAATAGTTTAGAAAACGGCTTTTACTCAATGCAATGAGAAACCTACACAAAATCACAGAGGCAGTAAGGGCTGAACCTTACTGCTCCATCCTTGTTGGAAAGGCCAAGGCGGCGGAGAGAGTCAGCTCGAAGCATCAGGAGGAAATCAAATACCTGTAACACAGAAGACACTGGAATCACTCACAACCCAAGCCAGGGGGATACCAAGCCACCTGCCCATGTGATACCTTTCCAAGTATAAAGGGAATTTTAATAGAAGCTGTAGCTAGTTCACTTCTGATGTTAAAACATACAGGCATGCTTCTATGAGCCAAGAACATCTGATTCTATTTCTGGCAAGCTCCAGAGTGCACATTCCCCACCTGCCACCCAAGAATTCCAAAAGATGAGGGTGCAGCTCTCAACCTGAACGTCCCTCAGCCGCTCTTCATAGGGCATGTTTTCCAGACCTCTCACAAGCCTTGTTCCCCACCTGCCACCCAAGAATTCCAAAAGATGAGGGTGTAGCTCTCAACCTGAACGCACAGGGTGCTGCCCATACCTGCAGCCTGATGCTGCTCGCGATGGCCAGGCTGTAGGCGTGCAAGTAGTGCCACTGGATGTGGTGGATCAGCATCTCATACACGCGCGTGGCGTGGCTGGAGGGTAAGCTGTAGAGTTTTGTCTGCAGAGGGCAAGGAAACACAGATGGAACGGCGGAACTGACACTTGGCTATTCAGATACTTGCTGTTCACTGAGAATTCAAGAAAAATGTGGCAAAAAAAGTTGCTCCTGAAAGCGAGACGAACAGACAGCTCCGGGCAGAACCTCTGCAAGGACTCCTGAGCAACACTGCCTGGCTCCAGGAGGGTGCTGGTTGGAACAACCAGCTTCTCACAACTGCTTAACCACACCTCAGGGCATGCTGCCCAAACACACCAGATCTATTCCAGGTGATGAACCTCTCCCTTTCTGCTAGCTCACGAACACGGCTGCCCTCCACACAGGAAAACGTGCTCATTTTCATTGCATTGTGGAGACCGAGAAAACAAAGCATTCAGCCAACAGTCACACGGTACCCAAAAGCAAAAGGAATCACCAAAGCAAGAGTTAAAATATTAAGTGGGTAGAACAAAAGTTGGAATATTTAATAGTGGAAGAACTGTTATCTAAAAAAAAAAGCTCAGCAGGAGACTGTTCTGAAGAAGATGTGTTCAATGCTCTTACCTGAAGAATTATCAGGAGTCCAAGAACTGCTGTCTTGACATCCTCCAGAGAAGCTGAATATGACAGCAAGTCCCTCTCTTCCAGTTCAGAAGGAGATGAGAGAGAATGTGCAGCCACCTTTTAAAAAGAAAAGCCATATATGGTTTAAATTCAAAACACACTTTTTCTTTATTTTCATCCTGGAAGGTCAGGAAAGAGGACAGAAAGTCGTCCTTGCTGGAAATCCTGCAAGCCCTGCCAGGTAGCTTGGATGTGTCCTGACCAGGTTTCTAAAGCTCTGCCCTTCAAACCTTCATCCTCCCAAACCCAGCAGTTCTCCAATATCCCGCTGAGCCACTCAAACTGGTAACGGTCACCAGTTAATCTCCTCAATCGCAGTAAGAGGCTCTGGGAGAAGGTGGGGTGATGCTGCAGACACCTGACCAAACTCAGCCTCACCTTTTCTATGATATCAAGCAAGCTGTTGAAGTGATGCGTGTTGCAGCCTTCAGCCAGGTCTACGAGTAGCTGAGTGGCCAGTTTTCGGACTTGATGGTCTTTATCCTCTGGAATGTGGGCCAGCTGAGAAATCACCACCAAGTTTATCAGCTCTTCCTGCAAGAGGACAGACCTTAGCAAGCCTTGACATTTCACCGTCAGTCAATCCATGTCAGAGAGACAAATAATTACAAAAGGAAGAACATCGATATTCTCTACTGGGCTCGTTCTTCAACTGTTTGGTCCCTTGACCTTTCCTCTTCCATCCAGTTAAGTATTTCGGTATGCCGTTCCTCCCAATATTCCTGATTTTTGTGGAATGCTTTGATTTTCGTCTGTCCTATACACTTGATAGCCCAGGCTCAAATAGACTGTTGGACAAAGGATTTCTAGGGCTTGTTTTTGAGAGAGAGAGAGAGAGAGAGAGAGAAACATGCACCAGCATCATGTTTTCACAAATCTTGAAGGAATCCAAGAAGCACCTCTGCCCCTTCCTGTCCTCTGACCCTCTAGGTACATTCCAAGGAGCTGAAGACATCCCCAGGGCACTTCTGGAACTCCTCTCTCAGAGAACTTCCATTCTGGTTGCAATTAAACTGGAACCACCAAGATAAACCAATCTGCTCACATGAGATTATGTCCACACCTCATCTTTTTATAGAGCTTTTAAATAAATCCTGTGTCTCTCATGTTGCCTTCTTTCTTCCAAAACAAAACATTTATGGAATTAAATGACCTCCAACCAGGAAAGCAAATACACAACCAGGTACTCCTCAAACCACAGAGCAGCTCCAAGTGCAAGTTGCACGTGCCTGTATCCAGCTAAGGACAAATCAAAGGCAAGTTCTCCTAGAACCATCCTAAAGAAATATTTCCGTTGTGTGCAACATTTAAAGCACAGTTGTGTGTGTTCCCCAGTGGCAGAGATGATCCAAAAAAGCCTCTCCCATCCACTTAGCACCTCACACGTGATCATCAGAAACAGATAAAACACGCACCTCGTAGAACTGTCTGTTAATACTCAGGACAAAGGACAAGACATCCAGAACTTTAATACGAACAGCGCTACGACTTTCGTGCCTAAAATGGAAAGAGCAAATTCAAGATGAATAAAACGAAGTTGCTGATATTTAGGGAAGGGGGAGAGTAAACTAAGAAATGTCTTAAAAGTTAGAACAGTAGGTGTTAGAGATCAGCTGAGCCCTCAGTTAATGTCTCTACAGATGAAATCAGATTGAAGAACAGCTGGAAACGGGAATTGCAATTCAGTTTTTACTGCTTCTGGAGACCTGTAACTGCATTTTCCCAATTCCAATCCAAACTAGGAAGCACATGTCAGAAGAACAAGTGCTCTGGTGTGCAAATTTAAAACCAAACATATGGCACCGAGGAAGATTTGCTCTTTGGCAGCACTTCACAGACGAGACAGAAGTTTGTTATTGCTCTATGTTGGTATTTTAGAGCACGAGAATACTTTCAGGAGTACCAGTTCAAAACGAGAGAACTTTAATACTGCATAACCATATGCAATCCTGATGCTTAACAGGAAAGTCTTGGTGTCAAAACTACAAAGTGCTGCAGAGCAGAACACAGAACTAATTGGAAGAGCATCAACCAATGGAAAAAAAAAAACCAGCATAAATAATTCAGTGCAAAGTTATTCTTCTGTTAAATGAAATCCTTCCATGTGCTGTGCCTGGGAACTACCACACTTCTTAGCAGTCATTTACTAACATTCGAACTTCAGAAAACAAAGCTACCATGTAACATTCCAAAGTGCCTCGTATTCACAGTGTGATGATTTCATACCTGAAGAATCTCTCCATGAGCGTCTGCAGGTTGTGAATCCAGCCATCTTTGGCAGGATGAATGGACTGAGCTCTGTAGGTTATCAAGTTTAATACAGAAGATTCCTTTCACGGAAAGATCAAGAATTATTTATTTTTGTGCATAAGCAAACACAATATATCCATTCCCCCCGAGTCCCACCCCAAGAATAAGGTTTGTATAAGTCCTTGCTGTGATTTTCAGACCGTTTGCTACTTCAGGACTTCCAACTTTCAACTGTACCATGTAACAAAACAGATTCAACTGGCAACAAAGGAAGACAATAAATAAAGCCTTACTGGTCTCTGATCAGCACATCTTTCCACTAGCTCAAAAAATCTCTCTTCAGAGCCATGGAAATCGTTCTGGTCGCAGAGTTCTTCCACCGTAGTCAAAAGATCATGTACAATGGACTTAAGTTCTTGGCTCTCCAGGCTCTGAAGCAGAGACAAAAACATTCCTAAAAGACTTCTACCTCACCAGAAAGTACTAACTTTTAAATGCAAACAGAAAACTCGGTTGAGAAGTGCAGCACTGAGAACCGAGCTAAAACCCTCATTCGGCTTCAAAGTTCACTAGAGCGTACAAACAGGAGATCGATTTGCACAAATATTTACGGTGAGGTCTTTTGCCTGAAAGCGCATGAAGACAGGCTCAACCCTCACCTGCAGCTGCTGCAGTAATCGCTCCATGATGTCCAAAAGGATGTCCCAGGTCACAGCTTGCAGCTCCTTCCCATACTTCTTTATGAGCCGTGTTATGGACAGAACTATCTCGTAAGACACAACCGCATTGGGACACGTCATGGCCTGGAACACAAACCATTCCAGAGTCAGTCTGAAAGGAGCGATCAGAAAGACTCTTAAACTCAAATGAATCATGCCTTGTTAATTAGGAACTTAGCCTGAAGGACTGAGATAAATATATTCGAGTCTATACACTCAAAGGGCAAAGGGAAGAACCATTTTACGAGGCGCAGCAATGTGCTCTTGCCAACAGCTGTAGGTCAGATGTCAAATACGGTCCCGGCTCACAAAGGAGACACAAGAGGATAAAGCTAATAATTCATGCTGGGGGCACTTGGGTGAGGGAATGTTAAGAGGGGTCTGAGGTAGTCCCTGGAGACACAGTCCCTCGCTTTTTGTAACAGATACTGGAAAGACTGAAAGTTTTTGCTCTGTTTTTATTTTTTAAGCTAAAGCAGCCATGAGGTAGATATTTGATAAAAAGAATTCAGACTTTACTTTTCTGGCCAAAGATACTCCAGGAGGAGGCCTCAGTCTTAAATCCTCTGTTGTTTCACTGTTTCCCCATGTTCACCCAACCGCTGCCTTTCAGGCACACAAAGACCTCTTCAGCGGAGAGGACCTCATTTTTGTTGAAATTTGTACAGGTCCAGGGGTATAACTGGATTAAAAAGCACCTCCAGCATCCCATCCTACCTTGAGGAATGAAGGCAGCACTGAAGTCGGGGAATTCTTGAGTGAATTGAGGCGATGAGCACCCCACAGAGCCATCCCAACAAAGAACACGGCTCCTCTGAGCAGCGCCGCATCGGCCATGTACGCTCTGAGAAGAGACGGAAGTCTTAGACCACGTTACTATTATTGCAACATTTTTTAGCATTATTTTAACAGAGTCAACAGGAAAACATGCTGTCACGACAGCAATTCCTAGCTGTCACATATCAGAGCCCCACGCAGCAATTTACAAATGTTAAAAGCGGAAAATCATTCGGTACAACTTTAAACAAAGGGAAATTAAATTCCGAAAAGCCGAGCGGACTTGTGCTGAACTCCTTGGGTTCTGTTAGACACACTTTCTTTACCTGTTTTCCATGATCCTGCACATGTTGTAGATGGCACTGTGTCCCAAGTGAGTTCCCAAAAGGTTGCGCATAAGCTGCAAATCCCAAAAGAACACTTAAATATCCAATGGTTAAAACGCTCGTTAGCCTAAATACAGAGTTAGCTGGCTGACCATGCCCACTGATGGTGAGTAAATATGTGTGGCCATTTCCATGCCACAACAGAAGTCTGTGGCATCAGCTGAGAGGAAACTACGACTAAATTCCACGGACGTGACAGGCCTTACACTAACAATGTGCTGATCCCTTAATAATTGAAACAATTTCCAATTTACGTTTAAAATCAAACTCAAATCTACGGCAGGCATGCACAGGCACATCTGATCCTTCGTCTATGAAGCCAAACTCGTGAACTCCTGAAAATAACACGGCTACAAGAAAGTTCTGACCTTCCAGCAGGGCTCACAGAGCTCCTTCACGTTGATGGTACGGCACAGAGTGATGATAAACACCGGCAGGTTCTCTGATGGCAGACAGTTATAGCAAACAACTGCATCTAGGACTTGCAAGGAAATCTTTGGGAAAAAGGAAAACAAAATGGTTACATGTTTCTCTGTAAATAAAGCAGGTCAAATGCTAACCTGGCCAATCAGAAAATCTTCTGGAAGTCAAAAGGGATTCGGATGTGTCTTTTTTTTTTTTAAATCATTGCAAGATGGAAAGTAAACCATACAAAAAAAAGCACTGTTGAAAATTTGATTCACTTATCAAATTTATCAATGCTCTGTTTTAGAATAAAATTATTATTGGTGTAGGAGACCCAGTGGCTTACAAACAAGTCATAACATTTTACTAGTTCTCTTGTAAGATAAAAATAAACTGAGAGCACCCGATGATCTGATTTTGTTTGTAAATGTTACAGTTTCAAAGAACCACAAAGAATTCTAAAAGCACTGGTAGAAACTCAAGTTACTGACCTCTATGTCCACAGATGATGAAGTCTGAATGCACAAGAGGCATATCTTGCTGTTAGGAAAGAACATTTCATTATAATTGGTCACTTAACATTATTTCAGGCAAATTACAAAGAGCCCAAACAGACAAGTAAACTGGCATGTTATTTTACTCATCGTTCCCCTCTCTGTGCCCCTGCTCATAACTCTCCTAGAGACACTGAAGACTACAATCTCTTTTTATAAAGTTAGTTTAAGTTGCCCTTAAATGTAACTCAGTACACCTACATCAACACAAGAGGAGAGACCCTGTGGGAGCCGAAGCAATGCCACTGGGCCCGCCACAGGAAATGGCAAGAGCACACGCAGTTAAACTAAGACACATCTAAACGTTTTAAGACCTGAAAATCAAATATTTGCCAGGTATGACCTGGAATGAAACAGATCCAGATCAGATGAAAAAGATTTCACTTCTCTGTTTATTGATCTGCAACTTTCTCCTTCAGTTTACCAAGAATAAGCATGTGGGAGTTAAAGATAACAACTTACTGGACCATGTCAGCTACGTAGTCTTCCAGGTAGCAGCTATTGAATTTCACTAGGTTCACTAAAACCAGAAGGAACTCGGAAGACAAACCGACATCCATCCACTGCAGGACAAAGTCAGCTAAAAAAGGAAAACGCATTGTTACAATACGCTTTCTCCCCAGAAGTGTTATCACAACCTTCTTCTCCTATCACTGGGTGTCTGGCCCTTGACTTATCACCACCAAACTGGAGTAGAGAAAAAACTCACCTAACTCTTCTTCTAAGTAGGTGATGTATCGACCATTCTCTGTTAGAGCTTTGAACACTTCAAGCCGTTCGTGTAAATCTTCATTGGAGGGATAGTCCTTAATAACTTTAAAAAAATGTGCTCTGAGGATCCCCAATCTCTCACCCTTAAAATAAAACAGAGGAGGGAAGGGGAATAACAGTGTCATTACTGGAACAAAGACAGTTAAGGCCTGGACTTTATCAAGATCTAAACAGTAATCTTCATGCTTGAAATTATTTTATTTCCTTGTGGGCTATGAAAGTCTCCTGGGAAGATCCCCAGTCTCTGCTGCCTACTGACAATGGCTCAGGTCTTCTCAGTGTGTTACAGCAGCACTCGGCGCTGGAGGCGTTTTGTCCCGCACCACACAGGCAGCATCTGACACACAAAGTCATCTAGAGGAACTGCAGCTGCCAGGAGGGCATTTAAAGAAAAAATAAAATCCAAGGCAACAAATGAGAATCAATACCTTTTTGCAAGCATCTACCTCCGCCCTCTCAGAACGCTGAAAACTAGACCTTTGGCCTGATACAGCCCTACGTTTGTACAGCACGTTGTGAAATCTGAAGAATTTATAGCATGCTTAACTTGGCCAGGCTAGGAAAGTAACTCACACAGAACTTCTTGCATACCTGACATGCTGAAACATCAAAACCAGCTGCAGATGAGGACTAATAGGTCTTGGCAAAGACAATACAAAAATTTGCTGCACTGTGCTGAACTCAGCCCCAAGTATTTCCTCTTTTTCAGGAAGGTTGCCCCAAAACAGCAAAGTTTTTTGTGAGCTGTACGAAACGCTTTGCTATGAGGTCAAACCCAGACTTATATTAAAATGCTTCCCTTTCCCATTTACTAAGCACAACCAAAACAAGAAACATGGGCAGCTGTAGAGAAGAGCCACCCAGTATTTTTCACATTCCTACTTGGCGCAAGACCCGGTTTAAGTGTCCCGTTTCTTCTCCAGTTTGTTTATTTTCACCTGTCCTTGAACGATCGACTTCAGGAGATGAAGAACAGCGTGTCTGGCTTCGACGGGGCGCTCTGGCTGGAGCATATCAGCGACCACTTTCCATATTGCTTCCACTGCGTGCTGCAAACAAACACAGGAGACAGGCAGTAGGAGGAAAGCTAAGCTTGAGCTGGGGTCTTTACCCAGTAGGTCAGTCATTAATTATGGCAAGTTACAGAACGAGATCGCCAGCGATTTATTTCATGTCCAGAGTTCTTTTCTGAGAGACACTCTCACCCACCTGGTAATAAGTTCAGGTGAAACACAGGAGACACCAAACCCCATCCTACGTGACAACTTGCACCCCAGGAACTCCAGTTCTTCATTCACTACTTGAGTGTGAGCATTTAGTGCAGAAACCTTCACCCAAACACCAAGGTGGGTTTAAACCAATTTGAGGTTGCTTATTAACCAGACGGAAGGAGTTAGCAAAACACCTCTTCTACGGGATTAACACCATCTCCCGTGAATCCTGACCCGGCCTGAACATCCGCAGCATTCCCCTTCCGTTCAGTCCCGGAAGCCCGTCAGCTACATCCTCTGTGCTCCACAGCTGGTAGGTTGGACAAGAATAATTTCCTTGGCATGTAAGCCATCCTTCTACAAGTCTGGACAGCACAAAACAGCTGCTGGGATGACCAGTTTTAAAAGGCAGCTTAAACTACAGGAGCCTCTCATGATAAGAGGTTAAGAGCTGCTGCTTAAAACTTTCATCCTGCCAACAGTGACTGAACACCTCGGAACTTACCTCTTCAATTTTTTTTGTTTTTGCCACTTCACAAATTTGACCGATTGCTCGTATCCTATTACTTAATCCACATTCTATGCTCAGTTCCTGGAAAGAAACGTAGAAATAAGCCAACAGTTTCTCTTACTAGAAACACTTATCCATTTCTCAAAGGGGATCGTGAACCATTGAAAAATAAGTTACACAGTTGTGCAAAGTGATCTATTAGTCATTCCTGGAGCTTTTCAAGAATTTCTCCAAAACCTCGCAAATGATCTGTGACAATTAGAACTTTCAAACAACTGGAGCCAAGTAGCTTTTCACCTCCAGGATGGAATATTTCATTTTCTTCAGAAAAAGTAACAGCTTGCTGGCTGTGGCACTCTCTGTGGCAGAGACAGGAGGGACATTAAGCCCAGCTCTCCAGCCTTGCAGCAGGTAAGAGCTTGGCTGCTCCAGCACAGACGGGAAAGGATTTCTGTGTTTTCCTCCCTGTGTGCCAACTATTCTGTTTACAGACTTGCTGTACCAATTACTGGAATCAATTTTTATTATTTTTTTTTTAATTTTCACAAAACCATAAGGTTTTTATAAAACAGAAAGAGTTTCCAGCTTAAGCTAACTGCCACCACACAGATTTCATCAAGCTCAGGCTATAAAAAAAGAGCGACATACACCCTGCAACCCAATGTACGGCAACACCACCGTTCAAATACAGAATAACCTAAAAGGCTGTAACTTCATAGTAGGCGAGTTTTACAACTATTTCACTAGAGAACGAGTGGAGAGATGAGGTAAAAAGGCATGACTGTTGAGGGAATAAATGGCAGAACAGAAGAGAGACTGAGCAAGCCCTCCTGATCTTCTCAGCTCAGGCAACCCAGGCATTATTCCCACCTTTACTACGGTCAGTTCTCACACCTTGAGTATTTCTGCAGTGATGATAAACTCAGTTTGCTTGCCCTCCGACGACTTGGAACTTCCCCGGGACGTTCCCAGCCCCAGGAGACTCCTGAACTTCTCCTTCAGCCCGGAATCCTTGCTCTGAGGCTTTGCCATTGCTGACAAGCGAGCAGCGCCGAGCTCCTGCAAACACAGAACAGGGAGGCCCAAGGGGAATCTTTAAGCAGGAAAACACCAGTGACAGCCATCACAACACGGCTTTTACAAACAGCTCTGGTGCCTCGTCTTTTGAAACAAGGGAGAAGCCCAACACTGAGGAGGAAACGGCGAGGAGCCCATAGACGTGAGCGGTCTGTGCTGCTCGTGCCTTAAGAGCCCACATCCCGCAGCTTCCCAGGGAATGTGGAGCTCCGGGCTACTGTCCTCTGGGAGCTCCATCCCAGCCCACACAGAGCAACCACCATTTTAAAAGCACTGAGCTGATGCTTGAAGCGCAAAAACACACACTTTACGCCGGGTGCAGGCTGAAGCACTTGCTCCCGGTCCAAAAGCACCAGACAAGCACGTAGCACCTTAAAGTAGACGTCGAAAGCAGCCAGATGTGAGGAAGGACTTACACTGCTGCGCGTTCCAACATCCAGATGCTGCCATGGCATGGAGAAAGCAGGAGTGAGAACAGGTACACTCATTAGAGCAACAGGACACTGACAGCAACACAGAAACTCAGAAACTGCC